TCCATTTTATCACAAATGGCCAATAATCATATCAAAAAATGTTTAAACTCATTAGGAATTCAGGAAAGGACAGTTGGAAAAAAACACTTTTTCAACTAACAGAATGTCAAAGAGTTAAAATGCTGGCAAGGATGTAGGGTAACAGGCCCTCTTCAATATCACTGCTGGAAATAGACTGGTTAACTCTTTTTGGAGGACAATTTGGTGGTAGCCATCCAAACCTGAAATAGTCATTGCCTTACGCCAGCAAAGAACTTCTAGGAAGCTATCCTGCAGAAACCCTTGCAGACATACACCAAGATGTTTGTATGTTCGAGGCACATGGTACACTGCTGTTTCTATCAGCAAAACCCAGAAACTATCTATGTGGATACATCAGTAGAGGAATGGCAAATTAAAACAGGTAAATCCAGTCCTTAGAATACAGTACGGCTGGTCAAAATAATAGGCTGTTCTAAATCTACCATGGATAGTTCTCCAAGATATATAGTCAAGTTAAAAAAAAAAAAAAAAAAAAAGTTGGCCGGGCACCGTGGCTCATGCCTGTAATCCCAGAACTTTGCGAGGCCAACGTAGGCAGATCAACTACGGTCTGGTGTTCGAGACCAGCCTGGCCAACATGACGAAACACTGTCTCTACTGAAAATACAAAAATTAGCCAAGTGTGATGGTGCATGCCTGTAATCCCAGCTACTAGGGAGGCTGAGGCAGGAGAATTGCTTGAACCCAGGAGACTCAGGTTGCAGTGAGCCAGTATCACACCACTGAACTCCAGCCTGGGTGACAGAACGAGACTCTGTCTCAAAAAATAAAAATGAAAATAAAACTGTGGGGTGCGGTGGCTCATGCCTATAATCCCAGCACTCTGGGAGGCCAAGGCAGGAGGATCGCTTGAGCCCAAGAGTTCAAGACCAGATTGGGCAACATAGTGAGACTGACTCTACCAAAAATCCAAAATTAGCCAAGCCCAGTGATGCACACCTGAAATCCTAGCTGCTAGAGAGGCTGACACAGGGGGATTGTTTGAGCCCAGGAGTTTAAGGCTGCAGCGAGCTATAATCATGCCACTGTACCACAGCCTGGGCAACAGAGCAAGACTGTCTCCAAAAAACCAAGTCACAGAACACTAGTTCCATTTATGTAACAATGTTAAATAACGTATGAAACACAACATAGGATGATGATTGACAGAATGTATTCTGAAGTGAGACTGGCTGGGTTTGAATCCCAGCTTGGATGTGACTTGTTATCTCTATCCCTCCATGGGTGCCTCTTTTTTTTTTTAGATGGAGTCTCACTCTGTTGTCCAGGTTGGCGTGCAAGGGTGCAGCCTCGGCTCACTGCAACCTCAACCTCCTAGGTTCAAGCAATTCTCCTGCTCAGCCTCCTGAATAGCTAGGCTTACACCCACCACCATGCCCAGCTAATTTTTGTATTTTAGGTAAAGACAGGGTTTCACCATGTTGGCTAAGCTGGTCTCGAACTCCTGACCTCGTGATCCACCCGCCTTGGCCTCCCAAAGTGCTGTGATTACAGACATAAGTCATCACGCCCAGCCAGGGTGCCTCTTTAATGAGGGTTCCAATACCTCTCACAAGGAAGTAAGAGAACCAAATATGAAATGCACTCAGAAAATAATGCCTGCCATGAAGTAAGATGATGCTGCAATTATTTATATATGAGTATGTATGGGAATGCTCAGAAACTGCTGTCATTAAGTATCTATGAAAATACAGAGGAAAAGCTATGAAAGAAGACACGTTACACCCACCATTCTCACGACCGCCAGGATGGAGAATGTAATGACGATTGTTCTATATGACTTTATCTGTAGTGCCTTACTCTTTCACATCAAAATGAGTGATTTACTTATGTAATTATCTAAAAAGATTTATAAGAAGAATAACATTAAAAATAAATTTTAAGAGCCAGGTGCAGTGGCTCATGCCTATAATCTCAGCACTTTGGGAGGCTGAGGAGGCAGGTGGATCACTTGAGGTCGGGAGTTCAAGACCAGCCTGGCCAACATGATGAAACCCCATCTCTACCAAAATACACAAAAATTAGCTGGGCATGGTGGTGCATGCCTGTAGTCCCAGAAACATGGTAGGCTGAGGTAGGAGAACTGCTAGAACCCGGAGGCAGAGGTTGCAGTGAGATTGCACTACTGCACATTAGTCTGGGTGACACAGCAAGACAGTTTCAAAAAAAATGAAATTAAAAAATAAAAATAAATTTTAAAATGCTTTCCAGAAAACGAAGAAGAAGAAAGAAAATGACTTCCCAGATCTACACCAGCCTCTCACATCTGGATGACTTGAACTGTTGCAACCAGAATGCACCATGTGCATTATTTGTACAACTTAAGAAAGGGGAAGAAGCTTTAAGAGGCTCGGGATGGGAGGATCACTTGAAGTTTGAAGAAGGAGACCACACTGGGCAACACAACGAGATCCTGCCTCTACAACAAAATAAAAAATTAACTGGGCACAGTAGTGTGTAACTGTAGTCCCGGCTATTCAGGAGGGTGAATAGAACTTCTTGAGGTGGAAGAACTGCTTGAGCCCAAGAGTTGGAGGCTGCAGTGAGCCGGGATTATACCACTGCACTCCAGCCTGTGCGACAGAGACTCCGTCTCTTAGGGAAAAAAACGGGCAGGGCAGGAGAAAACCACCCATTCCTGCACCCACAAAACCGACCCCCCACTAGACAAGCATGGCTGGGGCACATTACCGTAGCAGCTGCCAAGGCTGCAGGGTCAGCAGTGGCTGCAAACATGGAGAGGGGGTCAGTCCCATCCAAGACACTGCTCAGCGGGTCCACCATGGAGCTGGAGGAGGAGGACGACGTGGAAGAAGTGCTTCCCTTCCGAGTCACTTTCTTCGTCTTTGACTCTGTGACCTGTGAGGAAAATTTGTGGAGGTAAAACAGAGGTCCCACAACTCACCCCAGTGAAACACTCGAGTGGGTACTTTCTACAAAAGATGTGAAAATAGCTGGGCAT